AAAACCTAAAGGGATTTCATTAGAGCATGTTTATCTATAGTTTTCCCAAGTTCCTACACATTTACCGATGTTGTTGTGTCAGAAGTATTTGGATATTTGATATTTTCCAACATTCTCTCATTTGCAATTTCCATAAAGAAACACACGCTCATACAATTTAAGTGGTTCATATTTATTATTTAAAAAATTCAATTTGTCATTTAAAGAAAATCAAGCAACGATAATATTTGGCAAAAAAACTACAATAATAATTAATTTGATTTTAGGATATTGATTTCGTTTTGGAATGATAAGATTGCAACAACAATAAAATAACAGTAATATTTTTTAGTAGTATAAATAGGTAAGAAAAAATATTGTCAATGTAAGAAAAAAACAGTATTAAGAAAAAATATTGTCAATGTACAAAATGAATTTATAAAAATTGCAATTACATAATGATTTTTTTTTAAATATATGACTCCAAACAGAATATTGTACCTCAAATTAATTTAAAATTGTATTTTAGTAATCTTATAGGGGAATGAAATAAATTTGTTAGATTGAAAAAAAATTAATATTATATTATTCAAATTTGGTTTCTATCTTTATTGAAAAGTATGATAGATATAGGTTTGATGTGATGTTAAAGTAGAGCATTAATGATGGTTACTTTTGGGAAAGTTTGCTTCAAATATAAGCAAAAAATATTGAAGTGAAATGATTTTTTAGAGTTGAAACACGTGTATTGGAAGTTGCATATCTGTATCCATTACATTTAAAATGGTATAATATTGTCCATGGTTTTGGAATATTTTGAGTTATTAAGTGGGTAAATGGGATTAATAATGATGATAATAAATATTAATAAATAACAATATTAATAATAATAATATCAATTTATTCAATTAAATAAAACCTATGGTAGGGTTAGTTAGAGTATTAAAAAGAGTTTCTTTATGTTGTCGAGGCAAATTTATTGAATTGCAAAATGGTAGGGTTAGTTAGAGTATTAAAAAGAACTTATTACGAAATTACTTATAGGAACATGGAATTAGCTATATTATGGATTGTAATTAGGGTAATTAAGTAATTATGGTGGTAATTAACTTTTATATATTAAAAGTAGATTAGTTTAATGTAACTTTCTTTTTAATATTCTATCAGTTTAGTTTAACATTTTGTTATATTATTATAATAGTTTTAGTGTAACTAGTCATTTTAGTTTTCATTATTTTAACATAATTTGGATACATGTTTACTAAATTTCCATCACTTTAAAACTATATTTTTATTTTCACCTATCTTTAGTCAAATTAAAGAATTTTCGAATTTAATTTTGTTAATTAATTTTAATTAATTTAATTATTTTATTTTATCGAATAATTTTGATAATTAATTTTAATTAGTCTAATTAATTGACTAATCAAATTCTAATCATTTAATTTTATTAATCAATCTTAATTAACTTAATTATTTGACTTAATTGAATAATTTTGATAATTAATTTGGATTAATCTAATTAAGTGATTTATTAAACTTTGGCCATTCGACTTCGTTAAATAATTGGGTCAAGTTTAAGGGATTCTAAAACTCAATTTGTTTTTGTTCGTAAACACTTGTATTCATCTTAGTTCCATCCCCATTCGATAAAAATGTACCCCACCCCTCAAAATGTAATAGTTTATCACTTTTGCCTTATTTATGCTTTAATGCTTCAAAACAATTTTCAAAATAAATTTTCGATTTATCGAGCCATTTTCTACCCTTGTAAGTCGAGTGCTTTCAAAGCCTTGTCATCAACCTTTGATCACCATACACAATATTTTAAAGCTTAATCTTGAGCTTCCTTACAGTGACACCTATTTGATCAATTATTTCTAGTTGGTCACTTAGAAGACTAGCCCACTTTGCTAGTGCACACGTTTAAAATTCAATTTCAAACCTCGACTCACATCGAGTATTTTCTCAAATCAAACTTAAAATACTTAATAACTACTCAGATACAATTTCAATAAAGATGAAAAAGAGAGAGCTCTAAGTCTTTGGTTCACTCTCCCAATTTTTTGGGTCCGAGAAGTCTTTCTTAAGTCCGAATAATTTTCTTCTAAAAAATGATAAACAAATTCAAATCTATTTTCCTAAACACATAGATGAAAAAGAGAGAGCTCCAAGTCTTTGGTTCACTCTCCCGATTACTTGGGTCCGAGAAGTCTTTCTTAAGCTTCGAGTAATCGTCATCCGATTAATACACTCTAATCATATTAAACATCTTTCATAATATTAGATGAGAAAAGGAGAGAGCTCCAAGTCTTTGGTTCACTCTTCCGATTATTTGAGGTCCGAGAAGTCTTTCTTAAGCTTCGAGTAATCCTCATCTGTTAAAAAACTTTAATCACATCCTATCTTTCAAATGCCATTCAGACAACTCCTTTTGCGATGAAAAAGAGAATGTTCCAAGTCTTTGGTTCGTTTTCCCGATTACTTGAGGTTCGAGAAGTCTTTCTTAAGCTTCAAGTAATCGTCATTCGTTCAAATTATTCAAACCATACTCAATTCTATCCTCTCGCATTTGAGGTTGAAAAAAGAGAGAGCTCCAAGTCTTTGGTTCACTCTCCCGATTACTTGGGTCCGAGAAGTCTTTCTTAAGCTTCAAGTAATCGTCACCTCTAGCTAAACATATGATACATCTAACCAAATACCTCTCCTCGTGCGACCACAACCCTAAAACCTATTCAAATCTACCCTCTTTTCAAAACCAAAATACTTAACCAATCAAACTCTACTCGCCCTCGTGCGATCCACAACTTATACACCTTTTTCAAAGAACATTGTTTAGTCCATTCTTTCGCGCATAACAAACTCGTGCTTCAGCCTCCCCTAGCGAGCAGACAAGCCAATATTTAGCAGTTAGAATGCGACCTAAACTCTCGTTCAACTCATACCCACCTTTTACCAAGAACATTGTTTAGTCCCTTCTTCCGCGCATAACAAACTCGTGCTTCAGTCTCCCCTAGCGAGCAGACAAGCCAACGTTTAGCAGTTAGAATGCGACCTAAACTCTCATTCATTCCAAACACAAACCTTTTAGCAAACCGTAGGCCGAACTACGGCTGCTCTGATTTCTCACATCTATTGAGAATACGTAGGCATATGATTGTGATGATCCTAGTGAGCACATTCCCCACAATTCCAAACCTTTACCCGTAGTCCCACGAACTACGAATGCTCTGATTTTCCACTTCTTACAAGTGAAGATACGTAGGCACAAGGGCCCCAATCCTTGGCGAGCACCCTATCTTAAGACCACCATTTCCCCTTTAGCAAGCAATTCCTTTAGAAGATAAACAAGCGTATCAACTTTCTCTCACGAATCGAATCAAGAGTTTCTCGTTGAGTACAACGGACGTAGAGAGTGCTAATACCTTCCCTCTATGTAATCGACTCCCGAACCTAGAATATTGGTTGCGATGATCATGTTCTTATCTCCTTTAAGGTTTTATCGATATTTTCCTATTCCATCCTTGGAATGAATAAAGTTCGGTGGTGACTCTGTTTCGAACAGTATTTTCCGCGTCCATCGCGAGGATTGTATTTTTCGAGGTACGACACGACCCAGTCTTCAACTGCCCGATTCTGCCCCTCGACGGGCGGGGCCGTCGGAGACTCCGGTTCTTGGTCGACTTCCATAACTCCTGGTATCCACGTAGCCATGTTCACCAAAAAAGTAGAGGATAATGGTGAATTCGACGTTTCAATATCAAATTCACCATTCCACCACAGCTCAAGTGAAAGGGAGAAGGGGATGATATCTACGACCTAGGCTCTTCCTACCTCGACATCCACTCCCCCGCGTTGTTTACTATCGTATGTCCCCAGGGTACTCAACTCGCCCTATCATCCGTATCCCCGGGACATTCATCCAGCACTAGCATACGTCCCTGGGACATCCATCTATACCTAGCACACGTCCCCGGGACATTCATCAATACCTTACATACGTCCCCGGGACATTCATCCTTACCTATGATATTGACGGGGTTCAAATTAAAATAAGATACATATTTATATGTGATTTAATAAACTTGGGGGGTGCAGTTGAATCCTTTAGCTTAAAGGTGGCTGTCTTCGAAAAGAAAAGATCAATCAGTAACTGATCACAACTAAAATATCATTTTGCTATGTCTAAATCAAATATCAAACCAGTCAGATTAGATCCACTGTTAACAAATTAAATTCTAACAAAAAAAATTAAAAATCCACCACCACACTATGAAACAGAACAAACACTTCATCTGTTATAGTATAGTTTGAAGATAGTAATATTGTATAGATCAAGTTGATATTTAAATACAAAATTTTGACTTCAAATTTTACAGACAAATTATAGGTAACACCTTGAAAACATGTGGTTAACGGAAATTTATAATTATAGTTTATTAATAAAAATGATTTTAAGTAACTAAAATGTAGAAAATAACTTTTAAAAAACCACATTAAAGGAACAATAATTCACGCACTAAGTGGGGCACTTTAATACATTTCTAAGCTATAAGATAACTCCACGTATATTTCATGACATTATTATTACACAAGCAAAACCAGCTGCAACAACTTGTTAGTTACTGCAGTATTTTCTTGATGTTGATTAAAAAAAGTCTTCCCGAAGTTCCATTGTCTACACTGTGGTTATATGTATCATGTAATGTGAAATGTATAGGAGAAATTATTAACCTAACATAATAACATTATTTTAACTACGCTAACCACATATTTGTTTTTGACATGAATCTATTGAATATCTTCTAGAACCGTAATGGATAACAAAGTGATTAAGAAAAGGTGAAATTCCACAAAAGCAGAATGCTCATTCATCAAATAAATTAAACCCTCTCAAACAAAATTGCACATGAAAAGTAAACACAAACTTGTGATCAATTCCTAAGCATAAACAAACAGCACCTCGCTGAAGTATAACTAGAAAGTGACTAGAGTAACAACCAACAACAACTTCAAACCAACTACTTTGGTGCCTTGCTCAACAGAAAATCCTTCAACACATCCATAACAGAACCAAAATCAGCCTTAACACTAACTGGTGGATTCGCCAAACTTCCCATTCCAGGAATATTTCCAGAATGATAATCAATCTTACTATCAGCAAATTTCAATCCATGAGCAGTACTAACCACCACAACCCTATCACTAGATCCTATAACCCCGGATTTTCTAAGCTTATTCAAAGCCGTTAAAGCCACACCGGTATGAGGACATATAAACATCCCAGTCGAATCAGCAAGCGCCATTGCATCCATCAACTCTTTCTCAGTAGCTTCCTCAACGATCCCGTCCGAATTCTTCAATGCATAAACAGCTCTGTCAATTGAAACCGGATCACCAATTTGAATGGCGGAAGCAAATGTTGTTTCGGCCTTAATCGCTTTAAATTCTTTCCACCCATTTTTATAATACAAATACAAAGGATTTGCATTTGCAGCTTGAGCACAAACAAGCCTAGGAATCTTATCAACAAGACCCAAATCTTTACACATTTTGAAACCTTTGTAAAATGCATAAATGTTCCCCAAATTTCCACCCGGAACAATAACCCAATTAGGTACCTGCCAATCAAACTGCTGCAAAATCTCAATAGCAGCAGTTTTCTGTCCTTCAATTCTCAAACTGTTGAGAGAATTCGCCAAATAAATCGGCAATTCAGAAGTTATCTCTCGTATAAGCTTCATGCAACCGTCGAAATCAGTATCAATGCTAAGAACCAATGCACCGTTTGAAACCGGTTGAATCAACTGCGCGGTAGAGATTTTGTTCGCCGGAAGGAACACAATGGACGGGATTCCGGCCGCAGCGCAGTAAGCTGAGAGTGCAGCTGAGGTGTCACCGGTGGAAGCACAACCGACTCCGACAAGCGGACGGTTCATTCTCCGGAGACGATTCACCTGACTAACGAGCACTGTCATTCCGAGATCCTTGAAACTTCCGGTATGACTTATACCACAGTGTTTAACCCAAAGATCGTTCATGCCTACAAACTGTTTGCCAAAACGTTCAGCCCAGAAAAGGTTAGAGTTACCTTCGAAAGTGCTAACGATGTCGTCAGCGTTAATCTCAGGTAGAACCCACTCTTTCTTACTCCATACACCAGAACCATAAGGCCAAGTGGTTTTCCCCACACGCGAGTCGAAGAGGTTGCGCCAGTACGCGCCATCGAACTTCGCGAGTGCTTCCATGTCATGATGAACATCGAGGAGACCACCGGATTTGCTACGGTAGACGATTTCGTCGAGTGAGTAGGATTCATCGGAGTCGAAGCCGGTACCGAATGGGACGTATTTGGCAGTGAAGTTGTTAGCGGCGGTAGGGTGGCGGCGGGCTTTGTCTTTGATGTTATCCGTGAGGGAATCTAGTGAGTGAGAGTTGTCGTTGGCGGCGGCGGAGATGGTGAGTGAACAGTTATTTCTGTTGGTGGTTAGGTTAAAAGGTTTTGCGGCAGTGAAAACAATGGTGGAAAATGAAGGCTGAAAAAGAGAAGAAACAGCCATTTTGATTTTATTTTTGAAAAGATTACTATGGAGGAAGAAACAATGGAGGGTGGTGTTTTGTACTATATGTTTCGGATGGAATATTCGGTAACGGATGAAATTGCGCACGTGTATTTTACGCAAAGACACCACATGAAAACACGAAACAGATGTAGTCAAATCAAATCCCAGTTTATTATTGCATTGTTTGTATTACAATAACATTTATGTTATTACTGTAATTTTAATTTTTTTTCTAATTTTATTTAATATTATTACTAAATATATCATTGTCAAATTATTATTTTAGAAATACATTTTGAGTATATATTTAAAAATATTTGTTATATACATTGAATAATTGTTTTGTAATATAATTAATATATAATTTATATAATATATATATATATATATATATATATATATATATATATATATATATATATATATATATATATATATATATATATATATATATATATATATATATATATATATATATATAATCGTACCTGACCAGAAAGGGATCGATGATTAGGGATGGCAACGGGGCGGGTTTAACTATACCCGCACCCGCATCCATGTAACAGACCCGCCCCCGCCCCCAAATTCAATCGGGGTGAAAATTTACCACCTAGACCCGCCCCCAGTAGAAAACGGGTGCACCTGCACCCGCCCCGCCCCCACCCGCAAAATTTTTTTATTTAATTATAATAAAAATTAGTATTTTAATTAAAAAATTGATTATTTTAATAAATAAATTAATTATTTAATTAATATTTTAATTAATAAATGAATATTAACTTGATTAATTTTATTATTTTAATTGCAATAAGAATATTAATAACTTAATTAAAAGTATAATTAATAAATAAATATTAAAATAAATAAAATAAGGAAATCAAAATAAAATATATTATTTGGGGCGGGGCGGGGGCGGGGGCGGGCGGGTCTTAGTGTCTACCCGCACCCGTAGTTAAGAACCGGGTTTCACCCGCACCCGCACCCGCACCCAATTAAATCGGATTTCCCCCGTTAATTTCGGGGCGGGCCCGGGCGGGTGTGGGCGGGCCCGGGTTTGTTTGCCATCCCTATCGATGATCTGTCACGCATCGTCGATCGGGAAGTTGTCCACTCAAAGTGTAGAAGAGGAGGGGGTGTACCTGAAACACACTCTGATGTCAAAGTAAGTGACGAGTAGAGTGGAAGTAAGTACACAGAGAGAGTAAGAGAGTTAAGTTACCTGACCCTCTAGTGAAGAGGGTATTTATAGTGAGCCCCCAACGCAGGGCCAACGGTTACCTAGCACTGGGCTGGACTGTCAGGCCCAATGTTAGTAACTGCTAGGGCTGACGTGGCGTCGTGAGGACCAGGACGTGGTTTTCGCCCTAGGGTAACTGTTTCGCGCTATCCGGGAAGAGGAAGACTGAATCTCCAGGACGTGGGGCCATTACTTTATGACGTGTCCCTGCGTGAGGGACACGTGGAGAACGTGGGGGAAGGGTCGAGGAGTTCCCCGGACAGGTAGAGGTGGCTGGTCGGATGCGAGGGTTCTGCCCGACGATGGGGAAGAAGGAGACTTGCTGGTCGGAAGCGATGGTCCTGCTCAACAGATGTTGGCCTATGCCTGTCGGAGAGACCATGTGCTCGACGGGGATCCTGCTCGTCAGCATGGTATTCTCGGGCCCAACCTTGTTGGGCTTGGGCCTGCTTGGTGGTGGTCTAAGCGTCGGCCCAGTCCAGAATAGTAGCCCCTCAAGTCGTTGTTCACGGTCGTGCGAGCTATGACTTGAGTAGAGAATGATGTCGGGCGCGTTGACCAGTCGAGCAGGTATCTGTCGGACAGACTGTGATCATGTCGTCCAGGTGAACTTAAGAGGCGGTGCCTGCGATCGAGGAGAAGTTGAAGGGACGCAGGGAAGATGGAGGGTTGTCACGTGTCTTCCTGTGACGGCTACGACCTAGGCACTTGAATGCCTAGTGACGCTTCGCTTCCCGTGCCAAAGGTATATATGCGTAGACCTGGCTCCTCTATTCGCTCATTCGCTTCTTGCAGCTGCTCAACATCGGAATTTTTTGCCCGACACCTTCTATCTACTATGCTCGACCTCTGGATTTTTCTGCCCGACAGCAACTTGTCTGCATTCTCATCACGTAAGTTCTCGCATCTCTCTTGGCGTTTTTTTGTGTGTTTGTGGCGGCTCCGCTGGGGGTGCGGGGAACGCCGTGGGTTTTTTCGGTGAATACGCCGGAGGATCCTTCAAAATTAGGGTAGAGAACGTCTGTCCCCGGCTCTTGCGATTAGTGCCCCGGGGAGGATTGACAAGAACTTTGAACGTCCCGGGGACAATGGGATGAATGCCCCGGGCATAAGTTGATGTGTGCGCCGAGGATGAAGGATGTATTCTCTGGTCGCTTCCTCGGGTATAATGTCGCCCTTAGCTCGTCACATGAGCGGTTGGGTGACCACGCCTTTTCACTTGAACTGCGGCGGAAGGATGGATTTGATTTTGCTGTCGAATTCACCGAGTTCCTCTGCTTTTCAGGTTTAAATGGCTGGTCAAGACGAGGAAGACGTGGAGTGGTACTTGTCGGCAGACGAGGACGGTCGCGAGGAGGTCGATATGGATCCTCCGGAGAGGCCATTGGAGGAGTGGGTCGGGGAGGAGCCCCTAAATTATATGTCGAGGTTCGTCCTCGACGATTCTGACGCGTATGTCATGATAGAGGAGAGGGTGCCCAGAAGCCCTCGTCAATTTCGCGCTTGCCGGCCTTGGTAGGTCGATCGCATCTGCTCGCGTTTTGAGGGTGGTCTGTTCCCCATGTATGAGTTCGCCTTCAAGGAGGTGGGCATGCGAATGCCTTTCACCGGGTTTTAGCAAGGCGTTTTCGACCACCTGATGTTGGCGCCTTCCCAGCTGCACCCGAACTCATTGGGTTTCCTCCGAGCGTTCGAGATCGTGTGCAATTACTTGAAGCTCGGAGCTACCATTCCCTTATTCTTCTAGGTCTTCCATTTGCAACGCCAGACGACGGCAGGTCGACATAGTTGGGTTTCATTGAAACAGGCGACCAGACTCTTCTGCCCATATACTGACTCTGTACGCGGTTTTAAAGATCGTTGGTTCGTCGTCATGTCGGACACAAACGAAGCGTATGAGACGATTTTTCAAAAGGAGGTGGTAGTCGTGGACGGACGCTCCAAGGAAAACTATGAGTCATATTTTCCCTTGGACTGAGGGGATCAGCATTTCCGAGCGGCCACAAACAGCTTCATCTTCAGGCCAGGTCGGATGGGCGAGGAGGACATCCTGGCCTTCCGGGGGTTGGTGGACTTCATCGGTCGTCTACCTCCTCGGAAGTGTGTGTCCCCTGACGGGGAGTACATCCGCAGCGAGGACGGGCAGATACGCACAGAGTCCCGGTATATTAATGTGAAGGCTCTGCTCGAATGCCGGACGGAGGAGGAGGCCCACCGTTTCTTAGATAGTTTGTGTGCCTCCGGGATACTTTTGTTACTTGTCTGGATTTTGCTTCTAACTGTTTTCTTGTGTTTGTTTTGCAGGCTCAATGGGTTTCGTAGAAGAAAGGGTGACGAAGTTGATGAACAGGGGAACCCGTCGCTCAAGGTTGGGCCCCTGCTGCACAGAGGGAGTTGGTCGGCGGTTCTTCGGGTGCGACCTCATCTCCCCGCAACGCTTGGTCCCCGATGCAACCCCCGGTTCAAAAGTGGCGAAGGGAGGACGAGGCGCCGCGGATTGATCTGACGGACAGTTCCCTGGAGGGCGGGTTTGTCATGCCCCATTGTTGTCTCCGGCCGAATTTCTTCTCAGGGAGGAACGATCTTGTTGTGGCGCCCGAGGAGGCCAAAAGCATACTGGCTACGGGTAAGGAAGCTCGAAGGAAGATGATGTTCACGGATATGGTGGCGATGGTGAGGGTCTTCGAGACGGCCCACGTGCTGAATGAGGCGGGGTGCTCCTCGAAGGACCTAGCTGCTGTCAAGAGTTACCTCGCGGTGTCCGAGGAGGTCAGGGCCAAGCTGGCAGCCGACCAGAAGGAGTATCAGAGGTAGGACCTGCTCCACCGCGGACGCATCGAGGAGCTGGAGAAGGCCCTGAAGGAAAGGGACGAAAAGCTGAAGGGGGCCAATGGTAGTATCGCAGAACTTGAGGATCTGGTCTCCCCTGCCGAGGATGAATCCGAAGAGGAGCGGTTGGTCTTGTCTAGGAAAGGGTTCATGGCCAAGGTTCGCCAGCTCGAGGAGGACTGCCTGGGGGCCATCGAAGTGGGCTTTAAGCACGTTATCGACCAACTCAAGCTCATCAACCCTGACCTGGTGACCACGGGATTGGTCCCTTTCACCGGATCCAAGACGGTTTAATAGCGGCGCCCGAGGGCTCGGATGACGAGGAAGACAACCAAGCTGCTCGTGAGGAGGATGAACCTGTAGAGTAGGAATGGCGGCCTGCGCGCCCCTTTTTCATTTCGGCCTGCGTGCCCGTGATATTTTTAGCCTGCGTGTCATGTCTTGTTTGGATTTTGGGTTGGTGCCCGTTATTGTAATACTTTGACTTTTGGGTTTGTGCCCGTCTAATTGGATTTCACGTTTTCTTTTTGTTTTTTGTGTGTGCTCGTATATTTATGCATAATAAATATTTTCATTTGCTTTGTATGTTTGGTTGTATGCTTGTTATGCTTTACTTTATATTCTGCTAAGTTGGGAGTTAGCTCGACATTCTTTGTGCCCGGGAGTGTAGGGAACTGGCCAGTTGACCGAGGTGGTTACCTGGTCGGTGACGAGGGTGGACCACGGTCGTGGACCAGCCCCTGCGGCGTGAACCTCCCATTGCGAGTTGGGGTTCTGCCGGACGTGGTACTGCGGCGACGAAGGGCAGAGGCTTGCTTTTTCGTTGATCTCGGGGAGACGCAGTCGTACCACGCTGCGATCCCGTGGTTGTGAGGAAGGTTCTCACGGGCAGTGTTTAACTGTCGTATCTTTTTAGCTTTTCAGCGTTCCA